GAGAAGAGACGGATGTGTGTAAAGTTGAACTTCAGTTCCTGAAAATGTCAAAAATAACCAATAAGAAGCTGAAAGCAATGATCAAAGTGAAGTTTGAGGGTGATTGTGAGGGATATGAAGTTGGATTTTTGGTAAAAGATGCGTCTAGTGGGAGTGTGATTGAGTTCGTAAAAATAGATAAGTTTCTGCTTGAGGAACTCCAGTGGGGTCTCAAGGTGAAGTTTCTGTTGCCCTGTAGTTACGTATGTGACATTAGTTTGGTATCAAGAGACACATCAGGTGATTCAACACAAACGAGTTCTATGATTTACAGGTGTTATCCAACTAGCGGCACTGTAATGGTCAATAATAAATGATAACCTTGATTTATTGTTTATTGATCACCACACATACTATTATATCTACTGATATTGAATAATATTGTTGTTTATTATTGCCATTTTATTGTTGTTTTGTTATACTGATTTAATATCTCATATTACCTATTTATTATTGAACAAACATAATACCATGTTTCTATTGATTCAAATCAGTTCAGTGTTCTGTAGTGGATTCGATGGAATTATGGATTCAATAAGACGGTATGGTACTGATCGTGCAATGTGTAGGGCAAGAGAGTGTGGGCCATCACCAAGAAGGTGCTACCCAATTCCACGACCGTGTGTACCAAATCCATGTAGGCCAATTCCACTTCCATGTCCATCTCGTTTAACGAATCTTGTGAAATTAGTTGGTGATACTGGAGTATGCAGGCGTAAAAGAAGGCATAGTCCAATTCGTCGACCAATTGTAAAGAGACCTTGTTATAGGCCAGTACATCCATGCAAGCCATGTAAACCATGCAAGCCAAAGAGTTCAAGTAGCTCAAGCAGTTCGAGCAAAACATCCAAATCAACCAGCACATCTAAGAGCAGCTGCACTTCAAAATCTTCAAAGTCATCAAAATCTTCAAAGTCATCAAAATCATCAGAGTCAAATCACAGCAGCAGTTCATCAAAGAACAATAGCTCATCAAGAACTAAGATACAAATTGTAGGAAAACCAAAGCCACTTAAGAATGGATGTGTACAGCTGTGTATTGAGATAAAGAGCATGAATCTGAGAAAAGACCTGAAGAAACTGATATTCCACGTAGACTACGTAAACAGTAAGGGAAAGAGAGTAAAGACGAAGGTGATTCCAAAGAAGTTGATTGCCGAGAAATATGGATCAATCAAAGTGGCACTATCCCTACCAAANAGTTCATCAAAGAACAATAGCTCATCAAGAACTAAGATACAAATTGTAGGAAAACCAAAGCCACTTAAGAATGGATGTGTACAGCTGTGTATTGAGATAAAGAGCATGAATCTGAGAAAAGACCTGAAGAAACTGATATTCCACGTAGACTACGTAAACAGTAAGGGAAAGAGAGTAAAGACGAAGGTGATTCCAAAGAAGTTGATTGCCGAGAAATATGGATCAATCAAAGTGGCACTATCCCTACCAAAAATCAACTTCAAGCACTTCATTGTTTTGGGAAGATCAAAAAAGAGTGGGAAAATTAAGGTCAAATCGAACAAAATGCTCTTGCATCAGCCTGACCTGGAACCAGTTAAAACCAAGAAGGTCAAAGTGGACTGAATCATTGTAAATAAATCAGGTGAGAAAATTGTAACCTAAAATTATCCCAAATAGATGGCAAGAAGCAAATCGAACAAAACCACGGAAAGTGGAGGCAAAATAGAAATAACAAAAACAGAGCTAGGAATAGGAGCAATCAGGGAGACAGAGACGAGTAGTCAGAGAGTGAGGGAGCTAGAGGACCACATTGCATCGCAGAATGTGGTGATTCATTCACTGGTAGAGCAGATTAAGCAGTTGCAGGGCAGTAAGCAAGTTAAAACTACTCCAATTTATTCACACGTGGATGAAATAGTCGATTTACCAGGGATATCAAAGAAACTGAAGAAAGAGGAAAGCAAGGAAGAGAAAATGAGCACAAATTCAAGCAGCAACACGAAGAATGAGGAAGCAAAGACACCGGTTCAAAACAAGGCAAAACGAAAGGGAACAAAGGCAGTGGAGGAGGAAGAGAAGAAGCCAACTCAATTCGAAGAGTTGGGGATAC